CTTTTCTTTTCCCTCCAACAACTGCTGTAATCTCTCTTCTTGTTTCTTATCTTTTTCCTCCAACAACTGCTGTAATCTCTCTTCTTGTTCTTTTGTTGTTTATTTTCTCATTCTTCTTGTTTCTTTTGCTGTTCTTGTATTGCTGCCATCAAATTTGCTAAGTTGTAGTTTGATTTGCCACTTCTTGCTTCCATCTTTTTTTTTTCCATCCCACTTCTGACACCAATTTGTTATGTATCTGCTGGTTTGATAATTTCGAGTAAAAATTCTTTCCGAGAAACTTCAGCGATACAAGTACTTTCTTGAATAAGACTAGTTTATTCTTTCTCAATACAAATTTTAGTAATACACAGAATTTCCACAATCACTTTAAACTTAACAACCTTGATAACATATGCTATAAATCACAGCAATTCACACACTTACGGTGTCTACTGTTCGCTTGACTCAATTATCTATCTCTCTCTTCAATCTCGCTGGTTTTTCTCGCCAGGCTAATATACTAAAAAAGAGGGCGTCTAGCAAACACTCGGAAATTCGCGGGGTTCCTCGATAATTCATGATCCTTCGAGAAACTCCAATGTGCATGCTCCCAGCATTGCGTGACTTCCGCTGTCGTAACAACACGAACCTGACATTACCAGAAGAAAAATCAGAGAAGCTTTCTGAATAAAATCAAACAATCCCACAAATAACAAATACCCACGCACATCTCTACGTCTTTTATCGTTATTTTCCAACACATTCCTAATATTATGTAACTATTTTGCATAAAATATTCCATAGTTTTTGTATTTATTCTTTTTTATTTCTGTTTAGCCATCAACAAATAATCTGTCAGTTAATGCAGATGGACATGTACATGCATAAGTAACCACTATCATTTTTAGAAATTAAATATTAAAATTTTATTTATCATTACAACTTACATATTTGAAAATGATCACACCAGCGTACCTTTTCTAAAAATAAATCATACTTACCGTAAAAGCTGTAACTTGTTATAAAAATACTGTTTTAAGCAATACTGTTATAAGGATACTTATAATAATGTCCTTCTAACAATACTTACAAACAACACTGTTCTAGAAATATTTATAGCAAGACATATAACCACATTGTCCTTTTAAACCAATACTGAGGTTTACCTTAAAATCTCATTAATATTAATTCAATTTTTACTATTGAAACAACGTTATATAACAAGTGTAATTTTTTTCCTTCAACAATTACAAATCTTTTGATCTTCTTTTCATTTATAGGCAAGCCATTTCAGAAAATCCAGTGCTTGATGAAATGTTGGCTAAGAAATGCACGAAACCTTTTGTTCATCTAGTACTAAAAGTTATTTGTCTGCATCATAATGTATTACTAACTCCAGCCCATACTTGGTGAATAATACTTTAACCACCTTAATGACACTGGTAATTACTTGCTGGATTAAAAAAAAATAAGTGCTGTATTATCATGTATATTATATGGACTTCATTATATATAGTGATAACTACACTAGCATGTTCAGGGCTCTAAAGGAAAAAGTATCAAGTCAATACCAAAGTTGTTCACTTATTGGTCACTATATTAAGACCATTCATGCATACAATACCAGAACATTTCATCATGCCTGCATAAAGCTTGATGACAAAGTCTATTTATTAGAGTTTATAAAAGTAGCAATAGAAAGGGAATATATCTGCTACTAGGAAAAAAACTGGGGCCACCAAATGTTGATGAGGACTGAAGGATGTGAAATTAGAGAAAACTGGGGCTACAAACTGTTGATAGAGGAATGAAGGATATTTTGTCACAAGAAAGAAAACTGAGGCCACAAACTGTTGACAGAGGAATGGAGGACATTTTGTCACTAGAAAGAAAACTGGGGCTACATCAAACTGTTGATAGAGGAATGGAGGATATTTTGTCACTAGGAAGAAAACTGGGGCCACAAATTGTTAATAGAGGAATGAATGATATTTTGTCACTAGTAAGAAAACTGGGGCCATGAACTGCTGATGAGGACTGAAGGAGATGAAACTGGACACTTATAAAAAATGTCCCAATTTACTGATTCCTTTAAAAGTGGTCAGGATTCTCTTCAACTGTAACATACAAAAAATGTTGTATCACAGCTGAGAATGATGTCACTATGTTAATGACAATTAGGATACAACTATGGGCAACAATTCACATTTTTCTCTATATTGATGTAAGTGCAAGCTTCTAGAGATGGTGTGATGATGTGTGGAATGTTTTTGTGGCAGGTTAGTATCCTTAGTTCCTTTAACCCTCTTGATATGTTCCAAATTTAGGTGCATCTGGTATGTTTAAGTCAAACTGTGATGCAATTTCAAACAAACTGAAATAGCCTTGAATTGATTTTTTTGTTGCACAATTTTTACTGTTTTACTCCCATTATGATAAATTCAAAAATATATTTAATTATGTCATAACATTATGGAAACCAGTGTTTGGTCTAATATAATAAGGAATTTAAAAGTGAGCAAGTATTGTTTTTGCTAATTATGTCCACCTCATAATTCTGTTTCCAATGATTCTTCCAAGATATAGCATATTGTTCAAAATTACTTTAAAGAAAGTACCATAACTTTCAAGAATGTTTCTTGTTATATACAATCACTGGATCTCCATATTACTGAATACTTTTGGAAATCACATTTTATTCCGTAACACTCTGTTGACAACTACAGACTATTTCTCTATTAATCAAACAATATCTGCAATATTCTGCAAAATATTGTCACAGTAAAAGATAGACCAACTCAACATTAGATGGAGCTATAATAGTAAGTGTATCATTTCACTGTTAACATACATAAAACCTACCTCGCCTTGCAAAGTAGTTAAACTGTCATCTTGCAGGGCTATGCAAAGTGGCACTGTTGAACGATCCACCTTTAGGTCAGAGTGAATAATATGAGCAAGGAAATTTTCTATATTTTGAACTTCTTCAACTTGAAACACATTCTGAAATAGACACAATATTTGTGTAATAACTGTAAGTGTCAATATTTAATATCCTAATATAAAGTAAGGGTGATCTCCGACTTAATTCCGTATAATTCATAATAAAAGTAACAAAAAGTTAACCACGCTTAAGTAAGTATTACTTATTTTAGTGAGAAATGAGTTACTAGGTGACAGTTATGTAGATGTTATATTTTATAAACACATCTTTCACTGACAGAAAAAAAGTGATTAAGAATCAGTAATAATTTTGTATATCTACTGACTACAGAAATAGCAAATGAAAAATATTAATAACACTTTATGTACAAGTTTACTGCAGAAATAGGAAACACTGATGAACAGAAACACAAATTTAGAGTGCACCTTCTGTAAAGACAGTAAACATAGCAATAAACACTTTTTTACCTACTACATACAATGGTAAATACCTTTTACAGAGACAGTAAACAATTTTTACAAAGACTCCAAACATAAAACAAACTGAAACATAGAATAAAATATAGAAATTCGTGGATAATATTTAACATGTGAGGAGTTAAATTTGGTGTTTAACACATGTGTAGAAAAACATGCACTTTTTAATGTGTGGAAACGTGAACTGCTTAACACGTTAAGATAACACATACTTACCATTTTTTATAAAATCTTTTTTTTACTTACCTCTGAAAATATTCCCATTAACACAAGAAGCAGAACAAACGTTTTAAAGATACAACTGTTAATATATGATGAAACTATCCTTTTACCTTGGCATTATACTCAAATCGTAAATATGATGGTCCAACATATGATGACTTTTGTACTGTTTTTGGCAAGAGGCGTTTTAATGCAGCATTTAGGAGATGTGTCACAGTATGGTGTCTCATGCACCCGAGACGGTGGTTCTGGAAGAAAGACATAAAGTGCACCTCAGCTAAAGAATGAAAAACATTAAAAGTTGCTAATTATACTGGTTATTAACATTTCTAGTGCAAAAACTGCCCCTTGAAGCTTCATAACACCAACAATAACATGCATCATAACCCCAATAATAACATGAGTGTTACATGCCTAATTAAATTAAATTAACCTCCAATTTTATCATAACCCCAACATCAACATGAGCATTACATGCATAATTAACCTCCAATTTTATCATAACCCCAACAACAACATGAGCATTACATGCATAATTAACCTCCAATTTTATCATAACCCCAACAATAAAATGAACGTTACATGCATAATAAACTTCTAGTTTTATCATAACCCCAACAATAACATGAACATTACATGCATAATTAACCTCCAATTTTATCATGACCCCAACAATAACATGAACATTACATGCATAATTAACCTCCAATTTTATCATAACCCCAACAATAACATGAACGTTACGTGCATAATAAACATCTAATTTTATCATAACCCCAACAATAAAATGAACGTTACATGCATAATAAACATCTAATTTTATCATAACCCCAACAACAACATGAACGTTACATGCATAATAAACTTTTAGTTTTATCGTAACCTGAACAATAACATGAACGTTACATGTATAATGAACCTCCGCTTTCAGCTTTCTCAATTAGATCCTGTGTACAAAGAAGCTGAAGTTTTACTACAAGCAACAAAGCTAACTTCTCTACAAGATCTGTATAAACTGTTGCAATAAAATACAATGAAACATGGTTCATACTGAGTTGCTCAGATCAATTTCAAGCACTTTTTGGAAGCTAAAACCTACATAAAAATCAATTGAATTATACCAAAATTTTATAAAATTCCTAATTATTTGTTCAACATATGAATGCATACTTAAATGGAAAGAAAGACTATTTATTGAGCTCAACACTGCAGCATGCTTTAAAGTTAAATGTATATATATTCTGCAATTATAATATTTTCAAGTAATTTTGCAAAAAAAAAAGACCCTTTTCAAGCACTTTCAAGATTGAAATTCCATTCTCAATTGTAAGGACTTTCAAGGATGTGTATTCAACCTGGTTAACTTAACCTCCATAAATGTCATACATGGCCATCCTAAAGTATAACACTTCAATCAAATTTAACATCAGAGGCGAGCCAACAGTCTGTGAGTTTGTGCCATCAAGGGGCCTCACAAAATGTTGATGGATCCCAAATTTCAGCGCATTTGTGACCCAGGGCCGCATTAAGGGTATGGAAAATATAACCAACCAACCATTAAGTTAAAAATAAAAAAACAACAACTAATGATTAGAATTATTTCATCAGAAAATATTCTTATTATTAGTTGGTTGCTCTTTATATTATAAAATAATACTATTAGATATATATATATATATATGAATAATTTTTTTTCTTGTTATAGGTTGGACTTGGACATGTGAAATGAGGCAATCGTTTGACAGCGATGCATCCAAATGATCCAGGAAGAAAAAAGAATTTATAAACTCACAGCATGATGAGCTCAATGCCTTTACCATCAAGACTCCATAACAACCAGTGTGTGATCAAATGCTGACTGAAGACTGCAGACCTTCAGATAGCAAGGTACAAGAGACTGAAGATCAACAGTTACAGATTCTGACCACTTCGTACTCGATGACACTACGATTCTGACATATACGTTTCCATGGATGCCAGTGTTGCTAGCAATGTTGAAGGTGAAACATCATTAAATTTTTTTACAAAACCAAAACCAGGAAACATTGCAGCATTTTTGAGATTTCATCCTGTGCAACCTCACTCAGACATTCCATTCTCACATTCCAATTATTCCCGAAAGGATCCCACAGTAAAGCCAGCAACAAACCAAAAATCAACTACAGTGTGCAAATGGTTGGCATTCAATGAAATGGAGCAAATTTTACATTTCAGCATGTGCCTCACATTCTCAACAACTCATAACAATCACTTTGTTGTCAGTTGTCAAGACTGGAAACATAGCCAACGAAATGCGGAACATGGAAGCATGGTTGTTCACAAGGAATTGGTCCTCAGTTATCTGGCTTTTTCAAGCAAGTGCACAATAGAAATCTCACTATATAAAGACCAGGTTTCAGAGAGAAATTGTCAAATAGCTGCAAGACAAGGCTCAGCTTTTTGCAGTAATTCCAATGAATCCTCCCACCACATTCTCAATGAAAACTGTCGTCTTGGCAATTTTCTGGCTCTAGTTAAACTCCTTGCCAAATACGATGAAACACTGACTCTACACATTGAGAAAAAGAGCCACAAGGGTGAGGATCACATGTTACATTTCTGAGCAATTGCTATATTGAGAAGATCATTGTGGCACTTGCAGATCATGTCCAGGAGCAAATTGTTGATGAAATGAAATTAGCTTGTTTCTTTTCAATTCAATGGGACAACACGCAGGGTATCTGCACCATTGAGCAATGAATTCTAGTTGTACGTTATGTCAATCCAACTTTGCATGAGACGATGGAAAGCATTCTGTCTTTATTTTCCATTACACAGAACTATTTCAACAACATCAAGACACAACTAGCACTGGTTGGACTTTTTATCAAGGACTGCATTTTTTCTTCTTTTGATGGATCATCTGAAATGAGAGGAAGATTTTTGGGTTGCAGATGTAATGGGCAGCACCCTCAAGGGCTTAATTGTTGGAGATTCAATTATACTGCCAGTCACACCAAATTTACTTAGTGGAGGATTTGCAGTGGCGAGTGGAGCTCACAAGTCGCTAACTTGAGGTAATTTATGGTTAGATAAAGAATCAGAGTCCCAGACCAACATTGATAAAATTATAACAACATTTATTAATCATTTCCAAATAACATTCACCATAAATCAAAAGTCCATTATTCGTTATACACTTTTCAAATACCGTTAATCTAGACTATCTATTAATACACATAGATACACTTCTCTTAGTTAAACATGAATATTCCTTTAAGATTACTCACATTAACTTATTAAGAGAGAACCCATAATACTATAGTTATAATAGAGCTGGGCTGGAAAACTTGCAGAGGTTTGAGACTTTCATAGCCATGGTCACTCAGAAAACTGGAGGACTTCTTAGGAGAACTTCTGAACTACTAACTGAACTCATTTTTCAGTTTCAGAGAGGGAGTGTTAAACCATAATTTCTTAGTATTTCTTAGTATCCAGAACTACCTGCAAGTGGTCCTGCCACTTTATTGGTCGATCTGTGGGAATTCCAGGGCTAACCCAAAATCATAACCAAAACTGTCAAGTAACTGGTTACTGTTATGTTGAATTAACCAGTTGTCTATCTACTTGTACTAATACACCAGTGTCTTGTAAGAGATATCGCATCAAAGTACCGCTCTTGTTAACGACTTTTTCATAGCTTTCCTAGTGCTAACGAGTTAGCGTCAGTAATCCATCAACCTGTCACAGGTGCTCGTGCACTTACTTCATTGCTAGGCGATGTCTTTACATAACTTTCTATGCCACTGACCTAGCTAGCTGAACTTTCTAGTTCTCGGCCTCATTTTAAAATACAGGCATTTCCACTTACGCCCTTTCTCCATGTACATGTTCACTTAAAACTCGAAAATTGTCACACCCTTACTCTTAATACTCTTTTAACTAAAAAATATAAATCAGCATTTGGAATGGAAAAATTCGATTGATTAACTTGAATTAGCAAAACAAGATGGGGAAGTCATGCAGAGGCATTTATAAAAATATTTGCCAAATTCAGCAACACAAAAAGCAATGGAGTATTTGCGGATGTCAGTTCAGTGCTACAAACAATTCACATTTCAACAGCCTTTAAAGCTGGCATTGGAAATCAGGCGAAAAACGTTCTGAAGAAACTGTGCAAGTTCCAAAAAATAGCCATGGCATTTACATGCATTCGAATTTTTGAAATAACATTCATGCTTCTTGGTATCTTCAGATGGCTGGGCTTGATTTGTCTCAAGCAGCACATCCGCTTGAAGCAGCACAAAATTTGATCAACGCAATTATCCGGGACAGAAACTTTTGCAGAATGTATGAAGGAAAACCTTGCTGATTTAAACATTAAAGTTGCCTCAGAATTTAAATTTTCCATAGAAAATCGTGAACAGAGAAGAAATTCTGAGACATTAGTCTGTAACATCATCTTGGACACAACCTCAATGAGTCTCAGAACGTGATACTCTTCTCTTCGAGCAATTCTACTCAATTTCACTTTTTTTTATCTGAGACTGCTCTGACTGAAACAATGAAGTTCAATGGAATCACAGAAATTCTTGGCTTCAGTACATCAAGTGATTTGCAACAAGAACTTCTAAGTTTTGTGCACAGTTAGAATCTTTTGAAGAAGTCTCTCAATGATCATGTACTCCAGCTTGAACCTGCTCCAATTCACATTGAATTGGATGAGGAATTTGATAACGATGTACTTGAAGAAGAGGTTACAACACACAGTAGAGAAGCAAAGCCTTGCATGAAGGACAAACTGTGTGGAGGACGTTTAAGTTGCGCTTTCATTGTAATTGGAAAATATAATCTTTGTTCACCAGCCTATGCCCATCTGTTTTGTGTGTATCAATACATACTTACTTTCAGCATCACAAGCGTTTGTTGTGAGCGTGCCTTTTCAAAACTAAAATTAGTTAAAAACAGACTCAGTTCATCACTCACGCAGGAACAACTACTCTAAATGTTGAATATCAGCATACAAATAACCTAGACTATGAAAAGCTGATAGATTGTATTGCTGCCACTTCAACTGAGCTAAGCCTTCTTCTATTAACATAAATTTACCTATTTATTTTCATTTTTTCAATAATTATCACTTGTCAAGTTGTGTTTATGTGAAGTATAAATAAAAAATATTTAATTTTGGCCTTGTAAATATGTTTTGGGATTGCATCAAATGCATATCATTGTCAATATTGTATCAATATTCATCATGTAATCTACA